ATTAATTATTATGCTTTTTTAGGGTTGGAATCAGGCATTTAACAACCGATTTGACGTGGGATATCTCCGAGTGAATGGTATGTTTTGTGATTATATTTCATCCCATTATCCTCTTTAACTCGACCACTTATGTAGATATTTATACACTATATGTGATTTTTTAATCAACACTCCACTTTTACTCATTTATATTTACCCCTATCGGCCAATTAAAAGCAAGTAAAACGCAAATGATTGTATTGTAGCGGATTGCTACCTTAGTAAAGCCTGACTGACTCAGAAATCTCTATGGCAAATTCTCCAACATCTAGCTAGACTCCCAGAACCAGCTAAGCTATAGCCCAGCTATGAAGGAAACAGACGTTTAGCACGAAGCACGTTTATTCAGTAGATAAACCACGCAAGAAGTGTGTACAGGAAGGGAACCCAGTCATACAACATGGCGGCTTTCGGTAAAACAAAAAGGGGGCATTGAGCTGCTATTGGCTGCGTGCTCTTGTCCTCAGTCCGTACGCGAAATTGTACGGCCGCACCTCAAGCCTATGTGTACACGCATGCGATGACGTGTCCCACAGTATAAAGAACAAGTGGAAAAAAATTTTGTAGGATTCGTGAAAAGAACAAAACTATCAAAAGAAACTTTTTAATTAATGGGAATATGTCTAATTCTCCGAAATCTGAACTTTCTCCTTGAGTACTAAATGAGATTCTTTTTATCACTCCAAGAAATTATCGTCTTATTTATGATTTATTGTTTCCTACCATTTTTTAAGAGTTTTATTTTTTCTAGGAGGAAGAATAGCTAATAGTCAATTGCTTATGAGATCTTTAATCATTTCATTTATTTCAGGCTATTTTTTGTTTATTATTTTCCATTAATTAGTAATTGCTGCGAGTGGCCTGGTAGATCGAGAAATGAGAGCGAAATGTGATTCATACTGCTTATTGGAGCTCATTAACATGAGAGTTCAAACGCAAACAGTGCGAAAAACACTCAATCCAAAGTGGGATAAGGTGTTTGTATTGTGAGTCTGCTATCCCCCCCCCCCCCCCTTATTTAAAAAAACAAATGAATGAAAATAAAATCATGTTATTTTAAGCCCCGTGACAGATGTGCACTCCGTACTTTACATCACAGTTTTTGATGATGAGAAGGGCAAAAGTGAGTTTCTCGGTCGAATTGCCATTCCTTTGATGAAGGTGAGTTTTTTTTCTACATTTAACAAAATTTAATAAAAGGGAGATAAAAAAGCTTTTTAAATTGTTAAATATCTTTTATAATTCACTTTTCCTTTATTTTACTATGTAATGACTATTAATGTGAAATGACCAATGGCAATTAAATACATTGGTTATAAAATATTCATTAAGAAATTCATTTTTACTAGTTATAGTGAAGTGTTTTCTTTTTCGGAGGATTGTAATTCTCATAAGCCCAAAGCGATTCTATTATTCGGTTTTTTGTTTTCGGGAAACTTGCAGGTGCGAAACTACGAGAGATCGTGGTATGCACTTAAGAACGCCGATTTAACGGAGAGATCGCGAGGATCAATTTTACTCGAATTCTTCTTTGTTTACAATCATGTGAGTTTCTGGTCAACCTACGATTTCATAGCTATTATTTACGGAGATTTTTTTTAATAGTTCAAGGCCGCATGGAGAACTCTAAATCCTATTGAGCCCTGCCTTAAGCATCCAATTCGTCCACAAAAATACAAGGTATGTTAGGATTATGTTAAAGAGTGCTCGTAAAAAAAGATCTTTTACCTACTATCATATTATTATTTTAATATTTCAGAAACTCAGCTCGGATTACAAAAATGTAAGTGTGACTAAAGTGATTGAAATTGCTACCTTTCACCTGATATAGAGTAGATTAAAGTTGTTTAATGTTAAAAGAATAAGCTAATTGAGTTTGAGAAATGGTAATGTGATTATACTCTAGCTGCACTTTCATTACAGCCAAATTTCGAGGCCTACTTTATTCCAAACCGTGTCAGCTACTTGTCGGTTTTATAATTACCTGTTGCCCGCAACAACTTTTACAGTTTCCAATTCCGAAGTGTACGAAATAAGGAAACGATTGAATAATGGAATGAAGAGCTTTATGCTAGAAAGCTATGAATAATTCAATTTCGCATAGAAGGCGTTATTCATGTTGAAATAGCAAAAAGCTTCTAATCTTACTTTTGATGATTTGACCTTTACGTTGTTAGGTGAGCTTGTGTCGGTGATATTTAGAGCCCGTGGATTATTTGGCATAGTGACCAGTGGGGGGGAGGGGGAATGGAAGGGAGGTTCACTCCAGCCGAGAAGTCGAGATGATCAGGACATGTTAGGCTCAATGAAGGGCTATAGAGTATGTGTCACTATCTTCATGTTCGCAATTAAATTTTTTTGCGAAATTTTGTCAAATTGCTAAAATTCAACGTGGTTCCATTTTCTTCCAGTTTTAATGAATAGAATAAAGGAAATTTCTTCATCCGACCAATGTCTAACCGAACCCACAAAGCAAGATTGTTCTGTCAACAAATTAACTTATTAAATTTGAAGGTTATACCACACCCTTCATGAACGCCAGACATCGTTCCATCCCGTTGAGCATACTCTAAGTGACAAAAGATTTATAAATTCAATTGATTCCTTGAATGAACAATTCAATTCCCAATTAGTACGTTATATTGCTTAAATTGAGATGGAAAGCTAGAAGAAGAACAATAGGGAAGAGTTATAAATGATGTCAAAATTGGCTATATACAAAATATAAATAATTTGATATTCAAGGTATTCTATTTGGAAATTTTTTGTTTTAATAGAGTTAAGCGCCTTAATTTTCTCCAATTACTTTTTGTCATTATAATTTTAATTGTTCCTACCAGCAATAAAGTGTTAGGTTCAAGTCAAGTAGCCTGATTGAAAAGGATCCCTCCTCTTGATAGGTTGCGAGGGGTGGTCTCTATCATCCATTAATAAGCTTCCTTGAATAAAGTGACAAGTTTGCTACTATCTTCAGTCTAATAGGAGGTGGCAGGAGTTGAAGAAAAAATCTTGAGGTCTTGAATATCAAGACAATTACAATATAGAGTAATTCAATTAGTTTAAATTAATAAGTTAAGTATAAATCAGTATTTCAATAGCATTGGGGGCAAATTTATCATTTGCTACCTATAATGAATTCGATTCCCCGTCTAGATGTTCTTGTTTGCGTGAGGAGGTAGGCATATTATCAGGATAATATTGTCACAAATAGGCGAAGTCAACATTCAAAAATTAATTTAAAATAAGTTTGAAATATAACCATAAATTTTAATGGGAAGGAGTCATAAAGATGGTCAGTTGTCTGATTCTGAAAATTTCTTTGCCATCTGCATCCACGAGTTCCAACTGCGTTAAATTGTAAAACCAAATATGATAATTTTGATGACGCTTAAATTACCATTATCCCTTCTCGATTTTCATCGATTTTCGCAATTTTTTCATTAACTTTTACCCAAGAACCTAAGAAAATGTAAGCAATCACCATATTGGCAAATTAGCAGAAAAATTTCAATGTAGACAATAACGCCCATTCATTTGCAAAGTCGCGATAGTTATTAGATTTCCATAGATTGCCCCTTGCATTAAGAAATCGTTTGGTTTCAGTATTAACTAATTGGCGCAATTTAATTTCCCAGTGTCTGAAATATGATGCTCCTCTGTACGACACTTCTGCTTCTAACCACCCCCCCCCACGCCCTCCCTAATGACTCTTTCTCAATGTTTTTAAATCATACAGGCCATGCAAGTAAACGTGACTCGGCTAAAGGTGTTATTCAAGCCGCTATTAGATGTCATTCAGTATGTGGATTTAGTGTGCTCTTGGGAGAATCCCTGGTTAACAATTGGCGTCCTGATTGTCTACAATGCTGTGGTGTGGAATTTCCAGCCCTACATGATTCCCCTCGGAATGATAATAGGAATATTGATCCTTCGTCAAACTTCTAAGAATCCCCATCTACTGGACATGATAAGTTCTGCGAAATGTTTGCTTGGAGTTGGCGCTAGTAATTTGGGGTCCTCGCTCTGTCGATCTAAGGTACTAGCTTGTGAGAATTCTCAGAGAACTGATGGTGCCAAAAAAAATGCCTCCTTGAATTCCTTCTTTGACTGCGAAAATAACGTTCTTATAAATACAGAATTGTTATATTCGCTCACAAATGAAGTAAGTTTGTCGTTATATTACACCTTGAAAGCTAACTTGATGCGAAGTGAGAATAGTATTCACAAAAATCGATAAATTATGAAATGATCACATTGTCATTAATTTTACATTTTTACGCTCGATTTGTTGTTTCCTCCAATACTAATTATGAGTTTACATGTATAAAAGTACTATATAAATGTATGACAAAATTTCTTTGTTTATGCGAAAAGCGATCATATTGAATTTAAAAAAAGCTTTAAAGAACACGAGAGAATTAAATTCATGCAGGTTTTTACCGTGTTTACGAAATATTCTCTATGTTTGGTAAACAGCCATGCTTTGGAATTGGAGGCAGATCACTGCGTTTTGAGATAGACTAGTTTGGTTATTAGAATAGAATAAGAGAGAAACACCTAAAATTGGATTATTTTCTTCATTTAAATGACACAAAGTTATTTTTTATCGTCTTATGCCGATGGTTACTATTTTGTGGAACCTGTGTTACTGGTTGGGCGTACTTCGAAGTAGATTAAGTATCTTAAAATAATAACTGGCAAATTTAAAGAGACAAAGGTGTGTAAAGTGCAATTTGCATTGACGTAAATATGTTTTCTTTGCAGTATCCTTCCGACGATGAGCTTATGGAACTGGCAAGAGTATGTTGATGTTACCAATGCGTATGATATAAAAGCAAAACATTCTATTGATTTTCTTGTTCAGCAAAATCCAGTACCTCGGGAGTCGAACAGAGCAAAAAAGAAATTCAATGCCATAATGGAGGTAGTTGGGGACCTACCTCAAATAATGGATCTGATTGCTTCAGGTTTTGAGAAGACTCTCGGGTGCGTTGTTGTCAACCATTTCAGTTGTCATATTTAACGATAGGTTAAATTGGCGCACAATTTCAAACTTTGCATTTTTAGGTTATTTGAGTGGCAAGTGCCTTGGCTGACGTGGTTTAGCCTCCTCTTTCTGGTGATCTACACACTCATACTCTACTTCGTTCCACTAAGGGCGGTGCTCTGCATTATCGGTAAGTCATCTTGGCAATCTGCTTTGAACTTTAATTTTTCTATAATTTCGCCACTCTTAAGTAACTGCAATGTAAAGTGGCATGGCATTGATGATTATTGTGAAATTAGTTCATTACGTATACTTGTGCTAGCTACAAATTCAACTCTTAAAAACCAACGGCTTTGTGTACTCTAAATCTAATCAAGTCAAATTTGGGGAATATGTTTTCGTTTGTGTTATGAGAACATAAATGCAAATCTCAGCTCTTTAAGATTCACCGTCTGGTATAAATGACGATCACTCCCTTTCGAAATTAAGCTCGAACCCAGTGAACCGAGCGTTGTCAAGTAACTTAAATTCTTAAGGTATTTAAAACAAATAGACACAACTCGGGCTATAGAGAAATCGTTGGTTACAATAGCACAATCTTCGAAATTCACTTACCGCCTCGTTCAGTAAATGTCATAATAATCGAATTCTAGATAGTAAACCGAGTGCAGAGTAATTTAAGGTAAGTCCAAGATCCTTCGTTGTTACAGTCCTTTTAAATGCGTTAGAGACTTAGAGGTGGCTTTGGTTTTCTAGTTGCCGTCAACTATAAGATTATTTAGGTGGAGTTAAAAACCACGCATCTTCTATCTTATTTTTCCCACCGCTTTAAATAACTTTCAGTCATTTCTATTCATTAAAATTTATATAAAAGAGAATTTTACATTATAAGCAACATGACAATGAGTTGGGTAGATCCTTAACCACCAACTCAATTTGGGGTGAGTTAGCGAGGAGAGGTATAACACCAAGACCCCTTTGCTGAAGTTAGCTAATTATGTGAAATTACTTCGTTTCAAAGGCATTGGAAATTATGTGGCCTTAGCTTGGAATAAAATTTATTTATTTCAAATGGCAGGCGTTATGATAGCTATCATTAGCCATTTAGCTGACTTCGGGCTTCACAGAAGGAAGGTTCATCAAAGTAGCAGAAAGTCGAGGGGTGGGGATCAGAAGAGCGATTCACAGATGTAAAAGAGGCAGACAGACACAAAGGTAGAGAATAAGGTAAGATGCGTACTGTGAAAGGGGTCGAATATGACAAGCAGTCAGGCCATGGTAGTTTGAAGTGAGAAGTCAACTGCCGGTTAATAGACTTTTTTGCCGTATGAGTATACGCTGCCCAGGGTGCACCACGTGGGGGTAGGTCTATCGCAC